GTAAATATTTAGAAGATCATGAAATTTCTTAATGCACTAAAATTTTTAATATTATTTTAAAAAATGAAAAGATATCTAATGATTGTAAAAAGAGTTGATAACAACCAGAAGAGTTTTCCACCTAAATTAGGAGAACTAGATATTTTATTTCAATAACACAAAGCAACTTATATATAAATGAGAAGCACATACAATTCGAGTGGTAGATGATCTCTCCTAAATCATAAACCTAAACCTAAGATTTAAGACAATTATCACTTGTATAACCTAACTCTAAACATAATAAACCTCATTTATACCCCATAATAATGACTATGAAAAAACTAAATTGCCCTTAGGCGTTCCTTTTTAAAAAGATACATTGTCCTCAAGGTGAAATAAAATTGCTGCTCAATCAATTTGTATGGGTCCCATTTATAAAATGACTTGAGTCTTACTCTTCTAGTTAGCACTTAACTGAGATAAGTGATGGGTCGTTGACACTGCATAAGGACTGCACCTAACCTGAAACTTCAATCTCTATAATGACAAGTTGGCTAAAATCAGGTAATGCCAACACTAGTACACTCATCGTGACCTTCTTTAACTTCTCAAAAGTTTGTGTTGCGGACGACCACACAATTGAATTACAATCCTTCTCGATCTTTTGGTAGTATCCTGTATGTCCCACAAATCTTCTCAATCCCTTCAAGATCTAAGTTAGTGCCCACTTCAACATAGTCATCACCTTCAATAGATTCGTCGACACCAAGGTCTTGCACAAACTAGTTTCACCGTGAAGCACAACTATTTTGTCTCCCTCATGAAAGTGCATTGTTATGAGTTTCTAATTCATCTTTGTCTTCCCTAAGTACTGCACCAATTTCATGTCCAATGTCACATCCATGCTCCATAAATCCAAGGAAATAAAATCCTCCATCTCCAGAATCCCTTGCAGTATTAAAATCACTTATTTACAAACTCCTCAGCTCTTTTTCATCTGTCTTGTCCCTATCATGACTCCAAAATTTCCTGTGTCAGTCATCTCAAGCTCTAATTACTTCATTATTTGAGTAGAGATAAAGTTCTAGCAACACCACTACTTCCAACTCTCTAATTTGCCCCCACAATTTCATAGTGTGGTTCGGTGTTAACCCAACCATCGAGTTCAATGAGACTTCCACCAGATCTAAGTGAGGTTGTTCCACTTCTGTTGCTCTTATTAGCCCACTCCATTACATTTTTATCTTCAACCACCTGTGCTAAATTCATAGTTTCTCCCAATCCTCATTGTCTAAATAGACAAAGCATTGCTCAAATTTGTGGCCTCAACCTTTTAATGAAGTTTCCTTGCAACTCTAATTTCTCTCTCAAACGACCATATAACATCTCAAAATTTTCCCTATAATCTGTGATGAACCCTTTCTGAACCAATGTAAAAAATTACTCATAAAAGTCCTCTTCCCGCATGGTTCTGAAATACTCCAACAATCAATCCTTAAATTCTTTCCATGATTTAATTGACTGACATTGTTCTCTCTATTGACATCATGCTAAAGCCATCCCTTCCAAATATAGGGTTGTCGTCATCAATTTTTCTTTATTCGTCTGCCCACTAACCGCAAAGCATTTCTCAATGCGATAAACCCAACCATTCACATCCTCTCCTTCAAAGATCGTCATTTTCAGTTTCTTTATGCGTGAGTCTCCTCCCCAATTTCGTTGATCGAGGTTCATTCCACCTATAACATGGGAGTTGGGTTCTTTTCTTGACCCATGTTTATTTCTCTTCTTTCATAGGCCCGACTCGACCCATTTTAGCTCGCTCGTCCCCATAGGCGCTTGAAATGCCTTTCGTCCAGAAGACTGCTACAACAAAAGACACTAGCACGGTTCCACCCACTGCGCTTCCCTATTCTAGGTTGAAATCCTTTGAATTGATCTTCTTTAAACCCAATTTGCATGCTATCCCATTTTGGCTGCCGACGCTTGTTCCAACCATCTTGATTTTACTCTGTTCTATCCAAGTACTGTTTCTCAAGTTTGCTCCTAATTCCTTCACTCGATCCCATGATTTCAAATTACTCTAAAGCGATGACATTGCTCTAATGTCGTGTGAATTCTTCTAGTTTCTGCCACTCGTGTTTGTTCCATATGTCGTTGCTCATTCCTACTGCAGACGACCACAAATTTGTGTGAAACTCCGCAATATTTTTCATTATGTCTTCCAGGCTCTAGAACCTCCCTTCCATTGACGAGAACCATCCTCCATGGATGAGAACTGCCCCTTCACGGACGAGAAACGCTCCTCCATTCTAGATTTGATGTGGCTCATCTTCCTCAAATTTATCTTCTAAAGCATCTTATTTTTTTGCCGCCATTACTCCTAAGATAGTTTTAATCATGAAATCGAACTCTTGTATGTCGTTATCCTGTCATTGGCTTTCCAGCTAGCTTAAATTCGATGTTAAATCACAGAGGCGCGTGTCTGTACCCCACGATCCCGTTGTGGGCTTCCTACTAGGTAAAATCATGTCTATATCGTGCGTATGTACCTCACGTTCTTATCATTGACCTCCCAGTCAAGAGAAATCATGACTATATCATGCATCTGGACACATCGATCCCTGCAACGCCTTCGTTGGCTTCCTGACTATGTAAAACCGCGACTGTATCGCAAGGTTTAGTCACGTCTATACGCAGAAATTCTATTGTTGCCTTCCAACTAGGTCAAATCGATATGAAGCTATGCAACTACGAATAGTTAGACGAGGCTGAATCTTTCGGCTCTGATACCAATTTGATAGGAACCAAAGGTGTCTTCCACGAAAATTAGGAAATGAGATGTTTTATTTTAATAACACCAAGCAACACAACTCAAATACATAAATGTTAAGTATCAACAATTCGAGAGGCAGACGATCTCTCCCAAACCTTAAACCTAAACCTAAGATCAAGTTAACAATCTTAAACCAGAGATTGATTTTAAGCATATATCTTTTTTGCTTTTGTTATGAATGTTCTTACTATACATTTTTCGGAGGACGTACCTTGGTGTATGTTTTTTGTTGATGATATCCTTTTTGTTTAGAGAGCGAGAGAGAGTTTAGGACAAGAATGAATTATGGAGGCCAAATTAGAGTTTTTCATTCAAGTAGATTTAACACTGAATATATGGAATGTAATTTTAATAGTAGTAGATCTAGTGGCAGGGTTGTAACAATGGGTGATAAAGTTATTAAAAGGAGTGAACGTTTTTGATAACTTGGGCCTATTGTTCAAAGTAATGGCGATATAGATGGGGATGCCATTAGTAGTTTAAAGTTGGATGGTTGAAGTGGAGGAATGCATCGAGCCTATTGTGTGCTAAGAAAGTACCAGTTAGAGTTATTGAAGTTGGATGCTTTTTGATGCATAATTTTGGCTTTTAAAAGAAAGAAAGTACCAGTTAGAGTTGAAGAAATATTATAAGCTCGTAGACTTGCAATGCTTTTTGATGCATAATTTTGGCTTTTAAAAGAAAAACATAAAATTAACTGTTACTGAGATTAGAATACTCAGTTGGATGAGTGGGTTTGTAGTTTTGAGACAAAATGCAAAACAAATATTTCCATGATAGCGTTGGAGTAGCTCTAATGGCAGACAAGCTTAGTGAGACTTGCCTTAGGTGGTTTGTGCACATTATATTTCGACCATCTAATGATTTGGGAGATTAGATGTTTTAGAATTTACTTATTTTAAGCAAGGTAGAGGTAGACCTAAAAAGAATAGTTTTATATATTAGAGTTAAATGAAAATACGACACTCAATAAGACACAATGATGAATTGTGTTAAGAATGGTAGAGGTAGGCCTAAAAAGAGTTGGGCATGTTGTATAAAAAATGAGTTGAATTTATTAGAATTAAATGAAAATATGGCACTGAATAGGACATAATTGAGAAAAAAAGGATTCATGTAGCTGACCTCACTTAGTGGGATAAAGGATTGTTGTCGTTGTTGACAAATAATTAATCATTTAAAATATTCAAAAGTGACATTAATGAAGTAAAATTTAATTCAACGTAAAAGTGATCAATCTTGAATAAATTATCTTTCTATATCTTGATTGCATATTTTATATACATTATTTCTTCTTCCGTCACACTTTTCTTTGCCCAGGACTCTAATTTGAATGTTAGTTTAAATTATCGTTAACTGATCAGCAACTCATTGACTACTCATGTCTTATTCCTTTATGAAAATGCGTTCAAATCAAAATGTACTCTACTGGTAATAATTGAAATGCTAATCTTATCCGTCACAAATGTTTTTTGGGTTCATGAGATGTCAGGACAAAACACTCGCATTGATTTTGCGCTTGCATTAGCTCCAGCTAATTCTTCTTTTTCCTTCAATAATATTTTATTCATAATCTTTCCTCTTCTAGGCTGCTTTGGCATATGAATTCCCCGTCTCTGCTCTCTCTTTCCCCTGGACAATCTTTGGACTACTCCTTTTTATAATGGCTGTTACATGAATCTTGTCAACTTAGGGGCATTCAGAAATGTCGAATGCATTTTCAATGATAGATGAAATTGAATTTTTGCAAGGCTTGATTATACACCAAAGTTTTTGTTCATTTTTCCATTCTGGATTATGTTCCTTGATAGAAACAGTGAACCAGGCACAATACGCTGATATTTGAAGCAGGATAAAGGTTGACTAGGCAATATGACCATTGAAACCAACCAGAAAGGAAAAACAAAAGAAAAAAAAAAGAAAAAAAAAGAAAAAAAGAAAAAAAGGAAATTAAAAAAAAAAGCCTAAATACTTTTACCTCGTCCTTTTGCTTTGTCAAACTTGTTGCAAATTGTATCGTCAATTTGATGTTTTTTTTTTTTTTTGCATTTGTTGTTGATGGTTGCTCGTATCTTGAAAATCTGTCAGTTTTTCTCTTTCTGTATATATTTTTTACGCTTTAGATTCACCTTTGCTGTTTAATTTACACTCTATGGATTCATGAGATGCATATTCCTTTCAGATTGATGCAGAGGATCCACATTCTTTAGTTCGAAATCCTGCTGCTTATACCCTTACTATGAGCTTTGCCATTAGGGCCCTGTACAGGTTGGTTCCATGAGGATCTTCTGCAAAATATTTCAATCAACATTGCAATGCAATTATTTTTCATTTCTGATGCCAATTTTTGACTTTGAGCTCCATATCATATTGACGTGTTCATACGTATTATGTAGGCGTTTAAGAAGGGATTGCTACTTGTGGAACTCGATGTTTCTTTATTTTCAGTTTTGGTGTAGAAACCTAAATGCTCTTATTGAGAGTAGTTAAGAGCAAAATAAACTATTCTTCTTCTTCTAAGGCCTATTTTTTGTTTGCTAATATAAAAATTTATTTCCGCCTTAAACTTGGAAGTCCTTTATTCTTCTAATTCTCTTTTGTGCTGAGCACTTCCATTTAGTTTTTTAGCTAATTCATGCATCTAAAGTATAGTTAATTGACCTAGGATTGGAGTAATTCTTCGCCATCTAGGCATTTCTTGCTCAAGTGACCAGGCTGACGATGGCACGACTTTAGTGCTTTTGGGGATGTTATGGCCGCTGCTTGAAAATCTCTTCAGCTCTCCTCATATGGAGAATGGTAGTTTGTCAGCAGCGGCATGCCGTGCTCTTTCTGAGGCAATCCATTCTTCTGGTACTGGTTTCATCATTATAATCTATTGAAGAAGCCTGAATTTTTTCATGAATTTCACAAATATTTTATTTTACCCATTTTTTGTGTTTGATTTTTTTCCTTTGGCAGGACAGCACTATCATTTGTTACTGCCAAAAATACTTGACTGTTTATCTGCCAATTTCCTTTTATTTCAGAACCATGAGTGCTATATAAGAACAGGTATTGCTATATCATTATTGATGTTATTAATTGTTTTTAACACGTGTGTGTAAAATATTCTCTTCCTAAATTAGATCCTCTATGAAGGGATTTATTCTATTCCTGAATTGGATTCTCATATTATGTGAATTATTCTATTCCTAAATTGGATCCTCATATCTAGGGATTTCATACATTCATAAATTAAAACTTTCCTAAAGTAATTTCCCGCTTTCCAACACTTCCTCTCATGCCAGTGAATAGATATCATCCATTTCCAGCTTGGATAGAATTGTTGAGAAATCATGAACATTAAGTCCCTTTATAAACACATTTGGAAGTTGTACCTTTGAAGGCACATAAGGAGTGCAGATCAATTTGTGTCTAACTTCTCTATAAAGTGTATCAATCTCGATGTGCTTTGTCCTATCATGCTTTATTGGATTATGAGCAATATTGATGAAGGAGTTGTTGTCAAAATATAGTTTCATAGGCTTCTCCCATTCTATCTTGAGATCTTGAAGGAGGAATTTCAACCATGAGAGCTCACACACACCTTAAGCCCTAGCCCTAAACTCTACTTTTGCACTTGATCGAGCTACAATATTTTGTTTCTTACTCCTCCACATGACCAGATTATCACTCAAGAACGTGTAATAACCTTTTGTGGAACGTCTATCAATCAAGGATTCTGCAGAGTTTGCATCAATATAAGCGTCAAGAATCATCTCCTCTTCTTTTCTGAATGAAATTTCTGTTTATGGATTAACTTTCAGCAATAAAGTTTCAGTTTTGCATCTTGTAATTTTTTTTATGGTTGTGCATGAACTGACCTACTACACTCACAGTATAGGCAATATCGAGCAGAGTGGTGCCAACTATATTAACTTCCCTAACCAATTTCTGGAATCTTTCTTGATCACCTTTACTTTGCTTATTAACCTTTGTAAACCGGCCAAACCAAGCTGTTGGAGACTATTTGAGTTCATTTAATGCTTTTTTAGTTTGGAAACATTGTTCCTTTTTATCTCTCCTCCAAAGCCCGACGGAATCTCCAGATGCATCTCTTTCTCTAAATCATCATGAAGGAAGGCATTCTTCGCATCAAGTTGTTGTAAATCCCAATTAAAATTTACAACCAATGATGAACAAACCCTTACTGTATTCATCTTAACCACCGATGCAAATGTCTCTTGATAGTCCACTCCATATGTTTGAGTGTAGCCTTTAGCAATCAACCTTGCCTTGTATCTCTCTTGAGACCCTATTGATTTGAATTTAATGGCAACACCCATTTGCATCCCACTGCTATTTTATTCTGTTGTAGCTCTATTATTTCCCATATTTTATTTTTCTTAAATGTCTCCATCTCTATTCTCATAGCTGCTCCGCTTCATCGGATAATGCCTCAGACAAGTTGTTTGGAGTTGAGATGGAGTTTAAGTTGGCTAAAAAACTTTTGTGACTTGGAGAAAATTTTTGAAAATAAATTGATTTGGGCAATTGATACCTGAGATGTTCAATATATATTTTTTTGTCCCTTTTTTTAAGGCAATAAGTAAGTTGTGATCAATCAGAATAAGAGATGAATTTGAATTTAAGCATACCTCATTTTTAGGAGTACATTTTTAGGAGTAGGACATGAGTTTTGGACTTCAACAAAATGGTTTTAGTTTTCTCTTTCTTGAATACGTCTGTGTGTACCTCTTACAGTCAAGCTTTTTATGGGTAGGGACTATTTCTACTATTTCAGAGTTTGATTCTTGTGGGGACAATTCAGGCTGTAAAGATGACTATTGTGGAAGTGATTTGAACTCCTGTAAAATGTAAGGTTGAAATGTGGGTAAGTCGGGGAAAAATATAACTTTTGCCTTATCTTCCCCAAAAATACTAGGCTCCCTGGAACGACTCGACCTGATAACATATAATTTACTGAGGCAGAATTAGACTGTGGGACAGTAAAAAATAAACCTAAACGTAAATTTAGTCCACAATAACATTCATATAGAAACAAATCACTAAATTCACTATATACATGCAAACAATCTTCTAACAAAGTCATAAGATCATTCTGTCCATAACAAAAGAACAAATAAAACGATAAAATGAATGAAACAGTGTTAAATTGACTTCTACCTATCATTACTAACATTTTCTGTTCTTCTGTATGTCAATTCTCTTCGATCAGTCATATCAACTATCAAATATTTTTTGTGAAAATAATAGTGAAATAACATTTTAAGTTTAAGAAATTGGTGAACAATTATTACTTTATTATGAATTAAATCCTTATACAAATGTCTAACATGAATGTTCAAAGAAATATGTTGATCATAAAGTCAAATGTACCTTCTCAATTTTATAAAGTTTATTACTTAATCATCTTATCAATTATATTCTCATTTTTATTTATTTTTAAATTTTTTTTTAGAAGCTATCTCGAGAGCACATTAGAAATTTGTTTTTAATTTGTACCATGAAATCAATCATTTTCATTTTATATTTCATTTTGTACCATATAGGCAGAATAATTTTTATTTTTTTCCTTTAACATGCACAAGTACAATTATATCTCTTGTTAATACCATAGTGGGTGATTCATCATAAACTTAATTATTTCTTTTATTTAAGATATATTTATTTCTTTCCATAATTAAATTCATTAATTTTTTTTTATTACATCACAAATGATAAAAGAATGGAAATCATAAAAATATGCATATTTTTTCACTTATATTTATTCAGTTAGAAGATTGCTGTTACGATTCATATCAATTGAAACATTTTAAAAACATAAGAGATTAATTTTACGTAAATAAAGTAATAATTACTCGCCTTGCTTACTTGATGAATCTCTTCACCCTTAATATTTGATTTTCTCCTTTACTTAATGGCTATAAATATAAATCATAATGTTATATTAATCATCTAGTTATTGCCATATCTAATTTGTCAAATCATACTTTATATTTAAAACTAAAGATAGTTAACATCTTAGATTAATATTTTCATTTAAAATTTTTCACTAATTATTTTGGAGAAACTTTTCAAAATAACATTCCTCTGGTAAATTTCTTTGATTGTTCTTTCTCTGAATACCTCTCAATTTATTAATCTCCTCAAAATTTTTGTCATTGATTAGAGAAGCCCAAACTAATACTAATCTCAAATGACATCAATTTAACTTTCAAAATGTTACCTATTTTGATAAAAAAAATTTAACATTTAACCTAGATATACCTTAATTGGGTTCGGTTCAACCCTTCTCGCAATGTATACGACGCTGAACAATGACATTGTCACGACGAAGCCAAGGCTTGAAATTATTCAAGGGGGATATAGACGATCGAACGGTGCAATGTTTATTTTTTATGACTAGCCATTAATAAACGAAAGAGCCGCTAAAGAAGTTAAATTAAATTAGTATAATTAAATTTACCTCTTTATAAATTGTCTGCATTTATTATTATTATTTTCACTTTCATCGTTTATCTTTTAATCAATTAAATTAATCTGAAATAATAGTAACCATTTTATTTGTGTTTTGGGTTTTCTCCAGTATCATAATTCCATCATCTGACAACTTTATAACATTACTGGGTTGTAAGCCCTAATGCTTATTAAATTAATTAGTAGTTATGAGTTGTGTCTCTTACGATCTATGTTGAATCATTTACTTTTTCTTTCATTTATTTATTTTACTTTATTTATATTTTGATTTAAATTTAAACATATTTGATTTATATGGTTGTTTTTAGAAACACTCAAACATCTTTTTGGTGTTTTAGTGTTGATTTACCTTTAAATATAAAAGGCAAAAAGATATAAAAACTATACCAACTAAACATATTTGTAAAAGTAAAAGAAAAAAACAAAAACAAAAACAAAAACATGAAACAACAATGATGTCAGATGGGCCCTTAGATATTTAGCTGGGTAAAACCATGCATTGAAGGCATGCCATCGAGATTGACGTTTGCTTGGTTATTAGCAACGTGATGGATGTATTGCCTTTCATTAAATTGTCCGGTGATGCAATCAAAAAGGGTTCTTGGATTTGGTACGATCATCAATTATCACATTTGATTACTTCACTCTAAAAAGTGTAACTTAGATGTGGGGTTTTTTGATTTGTATAATTTTATTTGTTTTATTTGATTTAGATTTGTGAGCTTAATAAAATGATAGTTGACTTGGGTTCGATTCAAGATGCAGCTTTTATCTAAATACATAAGAATTGTGTGCTACGTATGTAAATTTCCGTCATAAAAAATGTGGATGTTGCTTCCATGATGGAATAAGTTCCCGAAGAGTCTTTCAATCTATGCATGAAAAGGTGTATTTCATTTGTAAAAAAAGTGTTAATAGTTCTATTTTTGATGTGATATTAAAGATTTAAGTGTTGAGTGTAAATATGACAGTTTTGGCGTGATATAAGGAAACACCTAAGAATTGTGTGCTATGTTTATGAACGCCCCATTTTATTATTAAAAATGGACAACATGTTCAAATAATGAGGCAAATCCCAACATTGTGTTCATTACAATTTGATCGATAATTCTTTCTGTTGAACGAAACTTTATTCTGCTCAATCAATTGTATTTACGACATATTTCTCCATTATGTTATTCACAATTTTTACTGCCAACTTTCCCAGCTGCTGTTGTCATTGAAGAATTTGGTTATAGAGAAGAATATGGAACGTTATGCATTAACACTTTTGAGAGGTTTACGTCAGCAGCTTCAGTAACCGCTTTGAATTCTTCATACATATGTGATCAAGAGCCTGATCTGGCGGAAGCCTACACTAACTTTGTGTCTTCTTTTATTCGCTTTTGTCCCAAGGTGTGCCATCACTGCTAGTTAACTCATCTTTGATTTGATAACTGGAATATTTTATTTGGGATCAATTTAGTTTTATTTTATTTATTTATTATTATTATTATTTTAAAAACATGTTTGTTTAGTGTGTTTTTGACATGTTTTTATTTTTGTTGTAAAAAACGAATTAAACAGCTTTTTAGTGTTTTTGAGTGTTTTCAAAACAATAATGTTTTAATCAAATTGCCAAACATGTTATATTTCAAATCATAGCATAAACAAAACTGAAAAGTAGAAAATAAAAAATAAGAGTATTCCCAAATAGCCCCTAATTTTTTTTAGGAAGCCATTTCAACCTTTATGCATTCTCAGGATGTTGTAGCTTGTTCTGGCTCCCTGCTTGAAATATCTTTCCAAAAGGCTACTATATGTTGTACAGCCTTGCACCGAGGAGCTGCTTTGGCTGCCATGTCATGCATGTCTTGTAAGTATAAAATACTATATGCACTTATTTTATTGCATGTCCTTTTTTATTTTCTTAATTTTTAATAAACATATTAATGCTGTACTTTTCCTGTACATTATTTCAGTTTATTTGCAGATTTTGGAAAGTTGAACTCATACAGAACATCTAAGAAAATATTAGGAATGTTGATGGCTAATCTATAAAGTGTAGCTTTGTCCGTAGTCACATGACTCGTTTATTATTGTGGTCCTCTTCTTCATTGGCTTGATGCCTCTTTTAAAAATTTAATGAATCTTTTATTGGTTATTTGTAAAAGTTTGGAATTAATTGAAAAAGAAAGGTCCATGGCATAAAAGATGTTTAAAAAAATTTTGAATCAACTACATGGGTTCAAAGGAACTGATAAAAAGCCAATTTTATTAATTAGAAGACCGAAACAAGGTGAGTGAAACACAAGCGAACGAGTAGAACAGCGAGAAGTAGCTTGGTCTTGAGCGAAACAGAGAGAGCGAGAGGGAAGACGAGAGCCATGTGCTAAAGATGGACATTGCACACTGGAGACAAGTATCATGTGCGAGTAACGAAGTAGTGACAAGCTCATTTTGGGTGATGTACTAGGGTTAGCAAGGAACGATATTGAACATTGTAGAGGAAATGAAGAAAGAGATGAAAGAAATAATATGAGATTGTTATTTTGATTGAAGAAAGAGATGAAAGAAATAGAGTTTGGTTTTTTTTTGAAGTTATTTTTAAATGTTAATAAGTTAATATTAATATCATATGAATTAAACTGATGATTAAGATTGTACGAACAATTGAATTAAAGGATAAAGGAATCAAATCAATCAACTAAACAAGTTTTAGTAATGTATGTTAGGGTTATTTAAAATAACTTTCTTTTATAAAATTGAAATTATAATTAAATATTAATTTGGATTTATTTTAATTAATCATCAAGAAACATTGAAGAAATAACATTTGGATTTGAAACGATTATTTCATATAGTGAAAGCGATGTAAGTACTTATGTTCTTGTACTATCGTAATATATTTTACTTTTTAAATCAAATGTATTTATCATTTTTAGTTCTTATTATCACAACATACTCATAATTTATATGATTTATAGTTTTATTGAATTTTTATTTATATTGTAGGAATGACATGTGTATTCAATATTATTTAAGTTATCATTAATATTGAATATTATACAAGTATAATGACTTATACAAGTGTGAATGAAATAATCAATGTTAATTAGTGATTGTTATAATATATGTGCTTTTGCTTGATTGACTATGATGAAGTTCACTTATTTATGGTATTAGCTGGGGAACGATAATGTATGCATGCACGTAATTGAAAAAGATTTTGATATTGATTTACTTTAATTGGTATAATTTTTACGATATTTCTGAGATGGTTGTACAAAATGATATATACATGAAAACGATATAGTATGACGTAGTAAAGGTTTTAAGATATATTCATCGATCATATTCATAAATATAAATTGACAAATGTTCTTATACTGATTTATTAAAAGTTTAACTTATATGTATATAATTTTTTTTTTCATCGTATTTCTGTAGTTTATGAGTATGAATATTCACAGTCTTATTAGCTCATTTTATTTTAAATTAATATTTTTAGATTAAAAATGCATAGTAAAAATAAGTAATGAAGAAAGGAATATCTACTGAAGATGTGGACAATCTGAACTAAGATAAATTTCATAATATTACATTGATTTACTTTATTTAACGTCTCTTTCATTTCATTTGGATCATAAATTGTTAGATATAAAAAATAAAAATTGAAAAGCATGATTATCATCGTCTGACTGTCTGTTCTCCTCTTGATTAATTTTAAGTTATGTGTTGGATTGTGACATAGTAGGACTAAGGCTTGTTGTTGTTATATTGAGAAAGATGTGTAAGGTACTTAAGTCATGTTCGAGTCTTTTTCCCATCTTGTCAAGAAAAGCAATTATAGGTTTTCATTTGTACAAGAAAATGAACTATGAACAATTTCATTTTCTGCTGCATCAAGAAGTGTGGGTACTTAGAAGACATCTCGACTGATTTGTGTGTGCGCGCGTGTGTGTATGCATGTTGAATTAGAAAGAGGGACAGCTTACTGTTACAAATTGTGTCACGAACTTTTTGCACTTTGAATTTTGAAATATCTGCATATTGTCAGCCTCAGATCATTGTGGTGCAGTGGAATTATGGTTCTTAGTGTAGTGTTTCTCTTTCAGTCTTTTAAGCATTGAAACTTGTCTCTCTTGCACTTACAGGCTTCTTAGAGACGTGTCTTTCTTCTCTGCTGCAATCTTCTGCTTCCGTTAGTGAAGGATCTCTAAGCGCTGTAATGATCCATGTTTTATCTAGAAGTGGTGAAGGACTTGTATCTAACGTTATATGTACTCTGCTTGGTGTTTCAGCAATGTCCAGGGTAAACATGCAGCTAATTTTTGAAAATTTCAAATTACTATTTCTTTTTTTCTCTCAAAGAACTTACTATAATATAGCATTAAGCAGTGCAATGAACTATATTTATAAGCTTATGCAAATAAAAACATTTAGAAATTATATATTGATGATTGTGGAAATCTTTGGTGGTGCTTTCTAGTTCCAACGGTGTTTTCATTTCAACAAAATTATTTTCCAGGCCATTGCGAAGAGTATATCGGCTGCCATGAGAAATTGTTCTGTTTATGAAAGGCTAGAAAACAATTTTCCCCGAAAGATGATGCAATTGGCTTCTAGAGAAGTTCCTTTCTTGATTTTTCTTTTTTCTACTTTTAGGGTTTAGGGTTACATTAATATTTACAAATAAAACATCAGAATCTACACAATATTTCACTATCCAAAAGAAACGGTGCAAAAAGAGACTACAACATAACATGATATATATCAGTTGTAATTTTTCTCATGTAAACTAAGTCTCTCCTGCCAGCCATTAACCTGCATCTATTTTTTCCTGAAAAACTATTTATTTCAACAACAAATTTGACTTAGCAAATATTATGTATGAATGACCATAAGAAAATGTAGTTCATTACTTAATAAATCTTTAAACTTTCACTTTAAATTTATTCATTCTTGTTTCAATTTAAGTATTTACCTTTTTTTTAATATTCTTTAAAGTCATAACATGATGATCGTCATATCTGAATTATTACAAAATTGTGCAAGGAAGGTTGGTATAGTTTAGGTTAAAAGTAGTTTTTTTTATTAGACTATTTAAATGATTAATTAGGATGTTTTATTTAGTATCAATTGATGAACTAAGTCTTAATTAGAGTTATTGATTGAACTTGCTGGGATAATTAGGTAGAACAAGAGGTTCAAATTTGAGGACAATTTTAATATTTGTTTTGAAATTTACAACTCAAACGTTTGTTAAGTTCGTTGTTGTAAGAAAGTTAAAAGTGAGGTTTGATGATCATCACTATCAAATATAATTCGAAAATGATTAGGAAAAGGAAGTAAATTTCAAAGGTTTTGTGGGCTACGGAAATTTTGATTGCTCCCTGGACTCTCTGCATTTGTTTTGTTTTGTTAAGAAAGCTTTGCAGGTTCAAACTGCATTATAGATAAGTCACTACCCAGAGATCTCACCCTCAATTTGTGATGACTTTTTGATACGGGGTTAGAAGTTTCCCATAGGCACAAATTCCAATGATTAATGACCTCTGATAGTAATAAGAGCACTTTCGATTAAGGTTAGTCATTAGGAATTAAATATTTATCATATAATAGCAGCAAACACATGATTTTAAGTTATAAAATCTGTCATTCTAAGCTTAAAACAGATAATGAGGGAAACGTTAACAAAATCCGAGCAAGATCCCATGGTTCTGTCGTCATGTGCCATCATGATCCCTGATCTATTTAGTCAGAGGAGGTAGTCGATCCAATTTGATTGAATGATCCCTGTCAACAATCATGGGTGCGTCGTTCAATGGATCCTTGTAAATCTAGGGTGGATGCTTGTAAAAGCGGATAAATTTTAAGTTAAGTTTAGCTGGCAGAAGTCTTTGTATCAATTAATTAGAATCATATGGTTCTTAGTTCAAATGATAGAAAGTTGTTGGAGAACATACAAGTAATGACCATAACTGTAATATAATAGTGTCATTTGGTGGCAACCATCTGATCATGGGCCTTTGGTTTTAATCGATAGTTTGTGGTTTCATTTGGTAGCAAAAACACACGGACAGAGGGCGGACATCGTCCTTACTGACATGTAATTTTTTTATTCTAATTATAGGGATACTTTTGATATGATATTTACTCTTTTTGAGTTGAAGTCAATGAAAATTTTATCACCCCAGACAAACTAATACGGAGGGTGAATAAATTTTTGCTTTTAGTTTTTAAGTGAATAATTTTACTCAAGTATTGGTTTCAAACTCATACTTAATGTTGATCTGAAACTAACCCATCAGGTTGATATTTTCTATCAACACGACTATTATCAGAGATTTATACATTTAAAACTTTTATATTTAAATGACATTTGATTTTATTAATTTTTGACTCATGTCATTATGAGGAGGATCAAACTAGGTGATTTAGTCTTACAAATTCTTATCTGTATGATTTAAATGATTATTTTTAAATTTACTAGACTCTTTAACTCCAGTCATTGTGAGGATGATTGCTCTAGTTGGGTTTGAACTTGTAGATTCTTATCTTATGATTTTGACAATTATTATTTAAAGTCATAACATGATGATCGTCATATCTGAA